TCTTAACCCAAAAACATACCAAAAACACTTTTAGATCCAGAGCAATAAAATCAAGTGCTGTGGTCCCTCAGACATGAAAGGCATCTACTATGTTACAAATGTTACAACTGGAAGGGTGTTCCAACTCTCATTTAGAGAAAACAGGCTGCCTCTTGAGGGGAATGAAGGGTGGGTAGGTAATCTCTATAGCATCAAGATGATTGAGGAGTGGTACAATGTAGCAAAAAAAAAAATCTGCTGGAAAGAGAAGAGGAGAAAGGATGAGGAAGGGAAACAGAAAGAAGAAAGGAGAGGAGGGTAGATCATAAGATCATAGATTTAAAGCTGGAAGGGACCTTACTCATCTTCTATTCCAACCCTCACATATTAGAAATGAGGAAACAAGGTACAAAGAGATTACCTGACTTACCCGAAGTCACACAGATAATAAGGAGCAAAGCTAGTATTTGAACCTAGGTCTCCTAATTCCAAAAACATGTTTTCCACTGCACTATCCAGAAATGCCTATGATGTGCAAGCAAAAAGTATCGTTTCAGCGGCAAGGTTCTGGTTTATTTTGCTTCCTTATGAACATGAAAAGATCCTATAGCTCATCTAGCATCAAAGAAAATGTACAGTATAGTACTAAATATGTGTGTGTGTGTGTGTGTGTATAACTAATTAGGTTGTGACCAGAAAACAAAAAAACAAAAAAAAAATAGGAATGGGACTTAAATTGGGCAGCTGAAGATCATATTCATAGAGAAACTATTTCAGAGAGTCCCAACCTGAGGAAACAATGAGAGACAAGGAATGGTTGGCTGACAGGCCACATTCTTCAAAATACCATTCTCCCTATGGGCAAATAGAACAAGCTACTCCCACTTAAAACCACCAGATTTTTTGAAAAGATAAAGAGAGGAGGTTCCTAGTCAATCCTGCCTCCTCTACAAGGCCTCCCTCAACCACTGATCTCCTCTTCTCTAAATTTATATTGTACATAATGTCGGCCTCGCTTAGTTGTCCATTTAATCATATGCTGCTTTGTATTCATGAGAAATCATAGACTCTTAGAGCTGGAAGCAACTTTGTTACTTAACTGTTTCAAGTGTACATGTTTTGTCTCCTCTGGCTAGATTACTTGCAAGCTCCCAGAAGGGAAAACCTCACTCTGCTTTTGATTTCCTATCAGCATCTAGCTAGAGTGCCATGCATATCTCTGGAATTCAATAATGAAATATTGATGGGGAGAGGAGGAGGAGGAATCCAGCCATCATGGTGAAGCAGAAGGAAGAAATGCAGTGAGCTCTCCTTCAAAACTCCAAAGAGATTTAGAAAACACACCAGAGTAGATACTGATTGAGAAATTCAAGAAAAAAATCACTTTTTCATGCCAAGTCAGCGTAGTGAAACACACAGAGAGGTCTGTGGACACTGGGTACAAAGTCTAGCCAGAAGTCAGCGTGGAATATCCCAGTGTTCCTAGACTATATTCAAAGGGAAGACTAGGTCCCAGACTAGGGTGTGATCATTATACAGGGTGTCAACTGGTAACTTTGTCACCTACTATCTAATACCAGATCACAGATCCAGGGTAGAATGAAGAAAGGACCAGCACCCAGGGATGGCATTCTAGCACGAGAAGCTAGGGTAAAACTCAACTGTATACTGAGCAAGGAGGAAGTACAGAGGCAAACACCAGCACTGTGGCTCAGATGTGAGGAGTAGAGAAGAGTCTCAGCTCTAGCTTCTAGCATGGTCATAAAGTTATAGGGAAATAACCAAGTCAGGAACCTCAAACCAAAATTGCGCTCTGTCATTCTGAACCAGTAGAGTTTGTCAGCTGGCTGAAAGTGGCTGAGTTTATCGGCCAGACAGAAACTCAGGTCAGGAACTTGAAAAGCTCAGCTCAGGTGGGAATCCACCAGATTTTGCCCTGGATCTGACCATTTGGAGAGCAATGAAGCTTGCAGGTTCCCAGCCTGGCTTGTCCCTGAGAGTCTGAAATAGTATAACAGGATACCCATAGGAGGAGACAACAGGACCAGCCCAGACCTTCCCTCCAAAAGTACATAGAGACTGATCTTAACATTAACTCTGAAGTTAGAAAGTAGACTGGAGAAAATGGACAAGCAAAAAAAATGAACACCATGCCCAAAATGCTAATATAGTGACAGAAACACTCAAGACACATCCCCAAAAGGAGAAAATGACTCCAAAACATTCACAGCAAAGCCTTAAAGAGAAACATAACTTGGGCACAAATTAAATTAGAATTCCTGGCATAAATGAAGCAAGAAGGTTTTTTAAGTTTTAATTTTTTATATAAATGGAGGGCTAATGATAGTAGAAAATGCAAAAGAAAGGATAGCTGTGGAAGAAAGAACTAGAAAAGAAATTAATAGCTTAGTATAAGAGGTACAAAATCTTATCCCAGCAACAAGGTCCCTGTAAACTATAATGGACCAAAAATAAGAAAATGTCTGCATACGGCAACAATAAATATTAAAAACAAAGTTGAAAGACTAGAAAAATGTAAGCTATCAAAGTAAAAATAACTGACCTAGAAAACAGATAAAGTAGAAATAAATTAAGAACTATTGAACTACTGGAGAATCATGAAAAAAACAGAAGAGCACAGAAATTATATTTCAAGAAATGTTAAAAGAAAACTGCCAAGATCTCTCAGAACCAAAGGGAAAAGTGAAAATAGAAAGAATTCACTGATCACCTCTTGAAAGCAACTCCAAAATGAAAACTTTCAGGAATATTATAGTCAAAGTTTCAACCAGATCAAATAATAATAGTGCAAGCAGAAAGAAAGAATTCAAGTACAAAAAAAAAAACAAAAAAAACCAGTAAGAATCATACAAGATTTAGCAGACAACACCATAAAATAATGGAGAACTTGGAATATAATATTCCAGAAAGCAAAAGATACAGGCTTATAGTCAAGACTTACTGTTCAAGAAAATATTAGTAATAATTCCACTGGGGGAAATGGATCTTTAATGAAATAGAGGACTTCCAAGAATTACTGATGAAAAAACCAGAGCAGTATAGAAAACTTGAAGTACAAATACAGGAGTCATAAAAAAACATTAAAAAAAATGAATGAACAATGGCAAAGGGCTAGATGAGTATAAACTCTTTACCTTATAGCATGGAGAGATGATGCATGTGTCTACTCACAATCCCATCATTATTAGAGACCAAAGAGAGAGAGAGTCTAATTAGACAGAACATCTGGGAGTGTTTCTGTTATTTTTTTTAAATATCTTTTAAAAAAAGAATGGAAAGAAAGACAAATAGGAATTCACTAGATAGGGAAAGGAAAGTTAGGGAAAATTATTTCAAACAATCAAAATATACAAACCAACATCTGAAGAAACAAGAAGGGAGTGGTGGGAAGAATGGCTAACATTTGAACCTCATTCTTATCTGAATTGAACAATGGAGGGAAAAATATACAGTTGTATGTGGAAATACATTTTGTTTAACAGGGAAATGGGAAGGAAAGGGGAAAAGGAACAATTAGAGGGAAAGTTGATTAAGAGAGGGATTAGTTTAAAACAAAACAAGCTCTAAATATTTGCTAAGATATTTATAGTACTTTTGAGTTAGCAAAGAATTGGAATCTGAGGGGGTATCTGTCAATTTAAAAATGACTGAGAAAGTTATGATACATAAATGTTATTGAATACTATTTTGCCGAAGAAATGGAATGGTTTCAAAAAATCCTGAAAAAATCTCATACGAACTGATGCAGAGTGATGTTACACAATAACAGCAATATTGTAAAGACAACTTTGAAAGACTTAGTGACTTTGATCATCATAATGACCAACTACAATTCCAGAGGACTAATGATTTTGCACACCTGCTGATAAAGAGGTGAAAGATCCAGAGTGCAAAATCAAACACACATGCATACTTTTTATTTTAAATAATTGTAGCTTATAATTCCATATATTATATATTAATTTATATTATTTTACATATTATTTGTAATTTTTTTTCTGTTAGACATGATGAATATAGAAATTCACTTTGCTTCGCTATGAATGTTTGTAATGAGGGGTTTGCTTTTCTTTCATTTGTAACAGGAGGTGAGGAAAGGGCAGATATTTAATGATTAAATATATAAAATTTAATTTAATTTAAAAAAGCAATTGCCGAATAAATTACTTATTTTATTAATTGCCTATTATATGTCCTATCCAAATTTTCCAACTGTGATGCATGTTACTAGCCCAGACTCCAACAGAACATTCCCATTCCATTTCTAGAGGAAATGAGTAAATGCCGAATAATTTGAAGGGAGAAAGGTTTACGTTGAAATCCACTGCTGACATTTGTTGTATGACCATAGACAATTCATTTACCTAAGCCTCAGTTTACTCATCTATAAAGTGGGTATAATAGTGCCCATAGCATCTACCTCATAGAATTGTTGCAAGGTTTATATCACATAATCGATGTAAAGCACTTTGCAAACTTTTAAATACTCTACAAATGTTAATCATCATTATTGCAGAACATCACCAGCTACATTCTTCTTTTATTACTCCAATGGATCTCTAGTCTCATTAATACGGGGTGTTTTCTCCATATTAATTGCTCCCTCCTCATTGCAACGTGAAATAAGTAGAAACAGACGAAAAGTATTCCTAATGACTACAACAGTGCAAATGAGAGCTCTCTCAAAGGAACCATATGAGTAAATGAAGACCTCGTAATGACGTTGGATAACAAATAACGAAAACTACATCCTACATCTTGGCCCAGGCAAGAGGCTCACAAGAGTGGAATGTAGCAAACACTGTCAGACCTGGTCATTGTACTGGTTGTTTCTTTGTTACATGGTAGGGTTCAATGAGGGAGTAAGGAAGCTTGTTAAAGATACCAGTAAAACATTTTTAATAAATTAAAACAAGGGCTCATTGTGACCACACACACACACACACACACACACACACACACACACACACACCTTCTTTTAAAAAAAAATCCGTGCTTACTTTCAGCAAGCCATGCTTTTGGTTGCGCTGTCCAAGCCATAAGTTGCTTCCTGGAGGGAGGTTGGTTTCCGGAGGGTCTATCACTCTCTCATAGATCCTATAGATGGAAATATCAGGGTTACCATAAAGACAGTCATACCCCAAAGGAGAAAAGTAAGCACTGGCACCCAGCTCAGACACATTTAACCTGTGGTTGCTAGATTTTGTGGGGAGAAAATAGATACTACTTGCCTAGGGTTCTTTAGTGAAAGGCACCGGCAAATAGAAAGATACATTAGAAAGAGCAAGCAGGATTTGCGATATCTTCAGTTCTTGAAAAATTACCCAGGTTTCCTTTCTGCTCCTTGCCTTCATTTTGTTGGTCAATTTTTGGTCACTTTAGTCTCCACTAGAAACAACCGTAAGTGCTTGATACTAATAACCCATAAGCAACTGAGGCGGAATCAAAGGAGAAGCTGATGAGTCTCGTTAGAATACTAATATACTGTCCAATGAACTAAGTGTTTCCTCTGATGGGAACATAACAGATGGAATGTGGCATTGGGTCATAGGGCCTTGAAACCACACCTAAGGGAGCAATACCAACAATTACTTTCAGCTCCTTCAGCAACCCCTGTCATCAGAGTTGTCCAATGAGTCAACGGCCATCCTGGTCTTTTATGTATCACTGGCCCTCTATGTTTGACAATCTTTCCACTTTATTTTTCCTGACCCTCTATTTCATGCTGCATAATGACTGCTTTGAACATTTTCCTCAATGAAGAGTACTTAACCCACTTCACTAAGACTGAGGCAGCTTGATGACAGCCACTTCCATTACCTTTCTCAATTCCTTGAAAATTTTCCACTGATCTCCCACTCTCTTCTTTTCTCAATGCCTAAGGCAGTCTCTCCACCTATAGCCTTGATCCTGTCCTTTCTTCCTTTCTTGCATTCTCCAGAATCTTATCTCAGCAATCATCCTCACTCCTCTCAATTTCTTCAATCTCTCTTTCTCCAGCAGCTGCTTCCCACCTCTCTACAAACATGTCCAGGTCTCCCAAAACTTTAAAAAAAAGTCTTCTCTTGACCCAACTCACCAACTCAATGAACTACCACCGTCTCATCTCCTCTTCCTTGTAAAAACTTCTTGAAAAAATTGTCTGTCCTTGATATCAGCCCTTTCTTAGTTCAATTTAATTCAATAAGCACTTACTCCTTGCAGGCACCGAAGATACCAAGATGCAAACCGAACAACCCTGCCTGTCCTCAAGGGCCCTGGATTGTACTGAGGACTTACATTTAACCTGTAAGTAAATGTGAGGCAGTCCAAGGAGGGAAAGAGAACTGCCAAATGACTGCCTTGTGGGGTGATAGGAGAAAGGGAAGGAAAGACTCTGCAGAAGATAGTTGAATTTAACTCAGAGGTAAAATAAATACTATATATCTAAGCTCTAGCCACAATGGATTTTTCCAAAGCTTTCCATGCTTTCCTCCATCCATGACTTTACTCACATGGTCTCCAATCCTTCCCTCTGATGTGATGAGCTCCTTCCTATCACACTCACTCCTCTAGATTTCTCCATCATTCTGGAGGAGCTGCGTCATCTGCAAGGTCACATCAGCCCTGACACTCCCTCCTCATCAATACCCTCTTTTCCTAGGGCCCCTCTTACTGGAAGGTATAGAGTAGAGCTCCTCCCAGAATCACCATTCAAGAAAGGCACCCAGGCCAACATCTCAATTTCCCAGCTGACTGCAACTCACTTGGACTTCTCCATCAGGCCCCTGCCAGGTACCTGCCCTCTTCCCTACCTTTTCAGCTTTGTATTTTGTCTTCCCACATTAGAGTACAAGTTCCTTGAGGGCAGGGACATTTTCTTTTCATATTTGTATCTCCCATACTTAGCATAATTCCTGGCAGATAATAAATGCTTAATAAATGTTTACTGACTGATTGGTTGACTTTAATGCCCAAATCAGATGCCTCCTTCTCCAGGAGGAATCTTTTTACAATGCTCATAGTTGGTAACAACCTTCTGCCCCACTCAGGCTTCAAAAAGCACTTTGTTTGCACCTCACCTATGCACTTACCAGGAATCAGAGATATTTATTTAGACAGTTTCTTTAAGTGAGGTACTTTGTTATCTAAACTGTATAGTTCACTAGTACCCAGAATAATGCTTTGCACACAATGACTGCTTAATATTCCAATAGGCTCTTAGTATTTAGACTTGAAACACTTAGAGGTCACCAAGTTTAACCCATTTATTTAATGAGGAACCTGAGGCCCACAGAAATAAATAAATAACTGTTTAATGGAATTACTTTCATATTCATAGAGTGCAAAAATTCTTTGTTATAAGAGATTGTTCTTTGGGACGGGGAAGCATGGCATGGGAAATCTAGACAATTTGTAAAAAAAAAACCAAATATATCAATAAAATCATTTTTTAAATATTCATATGGTACTTGGTGATTATAAAGTATTTTCATCTAAATTATTTTATTTGATTGTCCCAAGCAGCCTGCAAGGTAGTGTGTGTGAGTTTTATTCTCCACCATCTTATAGGCAAACTGCTGCTATTAAGCGACATGCCTGAATTTACAAGGCTAGTGTTCGGCAGACGTAATATCGAAGCCCAGATCTTCCAGCTGCACATCTAGTACCATCTGACCTCTGGTTGGGTGGCACCCATCTTCCTCTTACCTGGCACGGCTTTATCATCCCAGTGGAGCCAACTATGCCTTCTATCAAATATAGAAGTAAGACAAGTGAGAACTCCAAGCCAAAATTATTTCTCCCCCTTAGCTGCTTTTATAAAATATTGGGGAAGGGAGGAGGAAGAGTTTGGGGGCTCCCTTATGAATCTCAACTTTTTCCGCTATCCTTAAATATTTCTGTGAATCAACTAGACAAAGGACTCCTTTCACACAAGTATTCCGAAACCATATGTTGTATCTTCCAGGTGAAGAGAGGTGGCTGAAAGTCTCACTAATTATCTCTGCTGCGAGAGAAAAACTAGCTCATGGAGCAGGTAGCCTATTTCATCTCATCCTCAGGAGAAAAGTGAAAGTTAAAATACTGAAGAATTCTCTCACAGTCACAAAGATGGTGAATGATTGTTGAATTACTATAGTTGAGATCGAACACTGTAGACTTACATCTTTGCTATGTGTGACTGTTGTTTTATTATTCACCAGCAGTAGCCAACCATTCCATAACAATACCAGCAAGATATTCGGGTGACAACGTTTTGAATGTGCCAGGTTCATTATCTACTAATTATCTTACATTTAAAAATTCAAAAAGAGAAGTTTTTTTCAATATTATTCCTTCCCAAATACTCAGGCTATAGCTACCTATTCTGTGATGTCAGTCTTCTGGAAGGATATTTTTTTTTAATTCAAAAAACAATACTTACCCACTAGGTACAAAGTAATACACTAGGGGCCAGTTTAAAAAAGTGCCTTTGTCTTCATGAAACTTTCATTTTTACTATCATAGCTATGTCTGTCTTTCAAAACAGAATTTGATATACAAACCTAAAAATTGCTTTCTCTCAAACCATCTTTAAAAACCTTGTTTCTGCCATAACAAAAAATGTATAGGCTTTCTGGAAAAAGAAACTCCATCCATCCATTCTTTCATTCAATCTTTCACTCAAAAAATCTTGATTAAGCATGTACTTTGCAGAATGCTACTAGGTGCTAAGAGACAAACTTTAGATAAGATAGATAGATTTCCTTGGCCTTTTAATGCTAATAGTCTAGCAGGATAATAATCATCGTTTAAATGCACCACATAGTCCCCAAATAAAATAGGTAGCAAGTACCACAAGTCCAACTATAGGCTACAGTCAAGACTGGTAGTCATTGGCATCCATCCCAAAGTGGCTTGCAAGTCTGTTTTCAGTGGCGCACGTCTAGACACAAATCACCAAGATCTGCTACTTAGGCAAAAGAGAGACTTGATCTGCGGCTGCTTCTTAAAGTCCCTGCTTATTACGGGTTCCCTGTTTTTGTATATGCTGGTAGCTGTGTACCCAAATTTATAAGAATCAGTACTCTTATCATTCTCAAGAGTCTGTGTTTGCCATTAGGAGTTTCTTCTTCCTCCTTCTCCATCCCCTACATGCCAAAAGAAGACAGGACGGAATCCAGATATGTCACTTTGCAAAGTGATTCCTGGAATTCAGTTAGGATTTGTTTATCTCAAAATCATAATGGACACCAATTAGCATTTTAGGGGTAAAGAATGGAAGTATTAGCTGATAGCAGTTAAGCTGGACTCATGAATTAACAGTACTGATTCTTTAAGAAACAGAAGAGTGTATGCCAGCACCAAGAAACCAAAAAAAGAATATTAATTCAGAAAGTAAAAATTGTCATTTGGTAAAGTTCTGCTCTTGGCTTGTCCTCAGCTTATCTAGGTCAATCACTCTGCATGGACTGACATTTTGTCTTTATCTCCCTATCCACACCTATATCAACTTCCATACATTTCTGACTTTCAGCTTTGCTGTCCTCTCAGACACCATGACTCATCTCACTCTGATTCCAGGACTAACACTCATCCGTACTGTTGTGCATCTCCCTTTCTTGCTAACCCTAGAGCTCTTCCCCTGCATTGCTGTACAATGCCCAGCCTGCCCATGTGCTGTTGATCTGGCTATAGAGCACTGCCTAAAGATGTCATGCAATATGCACTTAGCAAAATGTTGGATGAGCCATCTTCCACTACAAATGGGCAACGTAGGCAAACACGTTGCTAAAGAGTTATAAGGAAGGTAGCAAGCGAAAAAGAGAAATGAAAAACAATGGGTTACATTGGTTTAGTTTTTGGTTCCATGTAAGAAAACAATGCTATAAAATTAAAGATATCCAAAAGGGAATGGCAGGAGTATAGATCTAAGCCGGAAGGGACATTAAAGGTCATCTAGTCCAATCCCATCATTTTACAAGTGAGAAAATAGACTCAGAGAGGTTACGTGACTCTCCCAAAGGAAACAGCAGAACCAGGATTCAAATCCATGTCCTTAACTTCAAAGCTGGCATTTTATCCACTTGAAAGGCTACTTGTGCTAAGAGGATGCCCTTCACTGGGTATCTTCAATC